CACCCACCCTTTAAAAAGCCAGTATATCTGCAAACACAGTGAAGGAAAATAAAACGTTATGTTAATGGATGGAAATAAAATTCCTCTGGTTTGTGCTTCTTTCATCTAAAAGTCATAGTCATTCATTTATTTGAGTTTTTTAAAATCTTCCTTGACATTGTAAACTCAGATATTCGGTACGAGTTTCACCTCAGATGGGCAACAGGATCGTGGAATCGGCCAGGAGCATCCTCAACCAGTTCCTCCCAGACATCTACATTTACACGGACCACATGAAAGGAGCCAACTCAGGAAAGTAGGTACCTCTGTGTTCAGTTCAGCTGCTACGTTCTGGCAAATTTTAAGCTTTAGTCCTTTCAATACTTTACTATGAGACATTATTTCAATGTTTTTTTTTTTAACTGCAGGTCTCCTGGTTTTGGTCTAACATTGGTAGCAGAAACACTGAACGGCTGCTTCCTCGGTGCAGAAATGTCTTCCACGCCGCAGGGGCAGGGAGACCCCATACTGCCTGAGGACCTCGGCAAAAATTGTGCCAAACTGCTTTTGGAAGAGGTGTATCGGGTAAGCACCCTCACTCAGTCGAGATTTAAAAAAATCTTTAYAAATACCTGCAATACACGATCAGAAAACATAATCTCTCCACATATGCTGCCCTTGTTTACACACATTCCCTGGTAATGACCCATGTCTGCGGATCAGCTGAGAAACTGCTTGTTGGTAGCGTGACATCGCAGAGATCAGCTGGAAAAGTTTTTCATTTTGATTCAGATTGTATTTAGCTTAATCTCTAAGCTTGTGGTCAAATCAAACACCGGTTCTCTTTTTGTTTTGCTTTTTACATCACTGAAGTCTCATTTTATTCTACATTTATTCCACACTGCTGTGAGATTATTAGGTCTGTGCAGTACATCAAAAAAAGCAGCATCACTGCAGTATAATTACATGTGTCAATATAAAATAATCAATCAAAGTCATAAGTTATTTCTTAAGTGCAATGCATTTGTGCTCGATAATTGTATCATCACGCTTCATGCCCTGATTTAAATGATCGTGGCTGAACTGCTGAATGGGGTTGGGCGTTATTGGCACAAAAGAAAAAAAAATCACGATTAATTGTGGTATTAAACYTATGACGATTARTCCCCTGGAGTTCCTGGACAYTTGCATGCCCTTGTCATATGACCAATTTAAATCATTCTAGTGGGAAAGATTTGCTCTCTGTAAAAATCTGTTTTACATTATGTTAAAAGTACATTGTGTTAAAAGTACAGACTTCAGGCTATACATCAACTTTTAAATTGTGTTGATAGACTAAGTAAAACTGTAGTTCTGATAAATTACAGAACRATTTTTTAATGTTCATCATATTTGAAGCGTAGAGGAGCACCGAGCGGACTGACMGGGGAAATCTTCAGTCAGTCTGTCTGGTGGCATTAATCATATTAATCATCAAGGGCCAAACAATGATGATTAATTGCACACAATACGATTTTGCCCAACCCTTCTGCTAAAGCACACAAAAAGTAATTTTAAGATGGTGTGAGGAAAATTAGGGAACAGCTCTGTTATAAGTCAAATGTCCGTTGCTTTAATTCAGACTTGAACAGTTTCATATCTGGGTGTGTTTTCTGCTGACAAATTGATGAGTCAGCATTAAAACAGATTTAATAAGTAAGGAATTCATGAATGGAGACATTTTTACCCCGGGCAAAAAAAAGGGCTTCACAAAATGATTTAATATACCTCATTTTTCAGTTGTGTACTGTCCCTGTATTAACCATAAACGAACATGGTTGTTAGTACACACACACCCACCCCGATCTGCTCACACAGGTAAAATAACCTGGACAGAACACGTACAATGAGGTTCTGTGTCTTCAGTCTGTTTCCACATGGCTGTTGGACTCAGCCCGCCATCATCCGAGCCATGTGAGTCCAGTTAGCTGGTCAGGGTAGTGCTGATTAACTCTGAAAGAAGAATATTGTTGATTCGTCCTCTTAACTCCAAGCAGCAGAGTGCTGAGCTAACCACTCTGTTTGCTGCCTTGTGGGCTGGTAAGTGCAAAAGTCTTTCCACTTCATTTGTTTTGGCTTTGAATTAAAAAACAAAACAAGAAAGCTGCTCCATGAGCATGTAAATTATTTAGACGAGTTGGACCACTCGGTATTTGAATAACGGCTTTTTAACTTAAGAAAACCAGCAGGTAGAGCTACAGGAGCTGAGAGAAGAATCGTTAAGTCACAAAGCAGAAAGATGGGTGACTCTTGAACTGGAAAAGTTTTTGTTGTATCTAGAGAGAAGTTTTCTGGATTTGTGTTTAAGGTCATGGATGATTGGTGCTCAGTGTCTGTTTGTTTTATGGTTAATCAGTACAGCCTGTTTGTAGTGAGCCACAGATGCACCACAAACGTTTTTATAAGCAGCGTCATCCCAGCCGGAGACGATGTAAGTGCTGCACTCTGACAGTTTTTACTCCAATATTGTTTTATTGTCAGTGCTAAGCTAGTGCATAAAATAAATATGTATTTATTTATTATCTCTCCTTTTGGCAGTTAGTTGTTTTTATGTTACATGGTTTGATCGTTTTTGGTGATTTAATTCTTTAAAAGCCTGAAGATGTTTCCTTGGCTTCCTTTTCCCTCTCTCTGGCTGTTAGAAAACAGATCGTCTTTCGCTCAGAGGATTTAAGGGACTTTTCCACAAGTTTTTTTTTTGTTTTCTATAGTGTCTGTTGGCCTCTTGGGACATTTTAACTGTGTCTGAAAGGCAGGATGTGAAAGTGGCAGTTATGTATTAAACTATAATGTTGTGGTTTAGTTTGTTGAGAAATGGCTCGTTCAGTTGATTGTAGGGAGTTTTGGATTTTCTGATCTCGTGGAGGAAATAAGGTAACTTTGTTTTTGAAGTCGAACATTATAGTTATATTTTATTACTAAAATGCTGTGTAATATTTTAAACTGGGTTTAAAACATGTTTTAAACCCAGTTTAAAATATTACACAGCATTTTAGTAATAAAATATAACTATAATGTTCGACTTCAAAAACAAAGTTACCTTATTTCCTCCACGAGATCAGAAAATCCAAAACTCCCTACAATCAACTGAACGAGCCATTTCTCAACAAACTAAACCACAACATTATAGTTTAATACATAACTGCCACTTTCACATCCTGCCTTTCAGACACAGTTAAAATGTCCCAAGAGGCCAACAGACACTATAGAAAACAAAAAAAAAACTTGTGGAAAAGTCCCTTAAATCCTCTGAGCGAAAGACGATCTGTTTTCTAACAGCCAGAGAGAGGGAAAAGGAAGCCAAGGAAACATCTTCAGGCTTTTAAAGAATTAAATCACCAAAAACGATCAAACCATGTAACATAAAAACAACTAACTGCCAAAAGGAGAGATAATAAATAAATACATATTTATTTTATGCACTAGCTTAGCACTGACAATAAAACAATATTGGAGTAAAAACTGTCAGAGTGCAGCACTTACATCGTCTCCGGCTGGGATGACGCTGCTTATAAAAACGTTTGTGGTGCATCTGTGGCTCACTACAAACAGGCTGTACTGATTAACCATAAAACAAACAGACACTGAGCACCAATCATCCATGACCTTAAACACAAATCCAGAAAACTTCTCTCTAGATACAACAAAAACTTTTCCAGTTCAAGAGTCACCCATCTTTCTGCTTTGTGACTTAACGATTCTTCTCTCAGCTCCTGTAGCTCTACCTGCTGGTTTTCTTAAGTTAAAAAGCCGTTATTCAAATACCGAGTGGTCCAACTCGTCTAAATAATTTACATGCTCATGGAGCAGCTTTCTTGTTTTGTTTTTTAATTCAAAGCCAAAACAAATGAAGTGGAAAGACTTTTGCACTTACCAGCCCACAAGGCAGCAAACAGAGTGGTTAGCTCAGCACTCTGCTGCTTGGAGTTAAGAGGACGAATCAACAATATTCTTCTTTCAGAGTTAATCAGCACTACCCTGACCAGCTAACTGGACTCACATGGCTCGGATGATGGCGGGCTGAGTCCAACAGCCATGTGGAAACAGACTGAAGACACAGAACCTCATTGTACGTGTTCTGTCCAGGTTATTTTACCTGTGTGAGCAGATCGGGGTGGGTGTGTGTGTACTAACAACCATGTTCGTTTATGGTTAATACAGGGACAGTACACAACTGAAAAATGAGGTATATTAAATCATTTTGTGAAGCCCTTTTTTTTGCCCGGGGTAAAAATGTCTCCATTCATGAATTCCTTACTTATTAAATCTGTTTTAATGCTGACTCATCAATTTGTCAGCAGAAAACACACCCAGATATGAAACTGTTCAAGTCTGAATTAAAGCAACGGACATTTGACTTATAACAGAGCTGTTCCCTAATTTTCCTCACACCATCTTAAAATTACTTTTTGTGTGCTTTAGCAGAAGGGTTGGGCAAAATCGTATTGTGTGCAATTAATCATCATTGTTTGGCCCTTGATGATTAATATGATTAATGCCACCAGACAGACTGACTGAAGATTTCCCCNAGTCAAAGGGTTAATTTCCTTTTGAACATTTCTCCCTCTGTGACGCACTTTGCTGTTTTTGTTGCTGAAAAACWCGGTCCTTCTCCTTCTCTGCTTGTCGTAGGGCGGCTGTGTGGATTCGTCCAATCAGAGCCTGGCGGTGCTCTTGATGACCCTTGGACAACAGGATGTGTCCAAGGTTCTGCTCGGACCACTCTCACCGTACACGTAAGCCACAATTTAGTGTCTGATAGGGAACACCTTGAACTTTACAGACTTGAGGATGGTGGAAGGTGATGAACGCTTCGTTAGTCTTCTGCTTGTTCTCATTTTGCAGCTGGTGGATTTTAATGTAAAACTCTGAAAGGTGATGATATGCATTAATAATTTTCTTCACTTAAAACCGTTTAAATGGAATTATTTGTTATAACTCTTGTGTTTCAGAGTAAATCTGTTTCTATAAAATGAAAATATCAATGGGTTGTTTATGCAGCAAATTATTTTTATTTATATGTTTAAACATGTGCAATTTTAAAAGGTTGATATATTTGGGGGGGTTTGGAGGTTTGTCTTATTTCTTTCTTGTGACCAGCTTGAGTGTTTGATTACATCGACACTGTGGCATTTAATTGCATACGTTTAAAATGCAGTTGAAGTGTTTTTAACTGTAAGGAAATTACTAAATTAGAAGAAATCAACATAAATGAAATGAGCGTAAAGTTTTACAGGAAAGAACGACCTATGAACTGTCCATTTTCAGCTATCATGGTACCGGTGCTGTGTCCCTGTCAAGTACAGTACTATGATAACTGAAGATTGGCAGTGCCATCACAAAACACTCCTCCTATATCTTCAAGTAATGGTAAAAATATTATGTGATGTATTGATTTAAAAAATAAACTTCATAAGACCAGTTTTTTGCTTGTATATTTCTGAGTACACGCAGAAGTAAAGTTTATTGTCTTATTTAATGGCAGATTAAATTTATTGTCGCATCGACACCTTCCTGAAATAATCATTTAAAGATTATCAGGCTTTTGCTCTCTGTCTCCACAGGATCGAGTTCCTGAGACACATTAAGGATTTCTTCCAGCTGATGTTCAAGATCGAGGTCCAGAAGCCTACAGAGGACGAGAGGAAAGGCGGAGATAAAGTTCTCCTGACAGGTGTTGGGGTTGGGTATAGCAATTTAAACAAAACTGTTAAATAAAAAAAAATTGTCTAATCTTTTTGGTCTTTTTGTTGAAACCAAAATTTAAAATAAATTATTTTGTTCTGGTAATGTTCTGTTATGAAACTATATTTTCAGAAGAAAAGCAAAACAAACAGTTCAGTCACAACTGTGCCTACATGCAGTATCTATAAAAAGTTGAAATCCACATTTTAAGTCATGATGTTGTAAAAATCAGCTGGTTCTGGGTCCCATCTCCACGGTTTAACTTCACAGCTTCAGTCTTGACCACACAGCCTCTTCAGGACTTCACCGTAGTTACCAGACACTTCAGACTGCGTTTAGAGACGGAGAGAAGCAGAAAATCAGCTTAGAAATCTGAACAAAATGCTTTCACTCTGCTGTTCAATTAGCCTCTCGTTGAAAAGTGTTTCTAATCAGTCAACATTTTTATCTAAAATCTTTCAAAATACTTTTTTTTATCCCTACAAGTCAGTTTTCTTCCTGTGCATCTTTGTCTTTGTTTTGTCTCATTATGAGCCATTTTAATGTTTTTCTTTTAAAGCATCTCTTTAGTTATTTAATGCAGACTCTGTCCTTATTCCATTTTTTTCAGTGCTGTAAAGTACCACAAAGTGGTACTTGAGTAAAAGTACAAGTATCTTACCAAAAATGACTTTGGTAAAAGTTAAAGTC